TTCGAAAGTTGACCATGCATTCTGATGACAAGACAAAAAGTTTAACAAAGGAACAAAGAAAAATAAAACAAACACGAAAAAAAAATTGTGGAGTTTTTGAGAATAAATCAAAATAATAAGTAAGATAATAAAATAAATAAATAACAAGGAAGCAATAAACAAGATAAACAGAAGAAGGCAAGGAGAGGCATAAAGATGTAGGTAGAACCATAGTGGAAATGAAGTTAAGAGATATTAAGAAATTTAAAATGTTAAATCACATAAAAGTTAAGGTTGTTTCAGAGGAAGAACTACAATATCCAGACAAAATAAGACAATTACGACGAAACGAAGTTTAATGAATATCAATCACGACTAAGTCCTTCTTCCTATTGCAACTTCTTCCTACCCTTTGTCTGATTCCTCTCGCCCTCCCCACTCGTCCTCCTGACTTGAACACCGTGTGTTCAGGGTGTGGACGGGCTAACAAAGCCAGGCGGTGGGACCGATCATAAAATCGATCGGATATTGTCTTCAAACTGACTGGCTGCCATGGTAACAATGTTTAATAATACCAGCAGTAACTATGCGGGCATCACATTGAGGAATTACGTGATTTGAGGGAATTTAATGTGGCGTAACACCAGCTCTCGCCTTCAGAGGCGTATTCTAGGTAAACGTCATCGCAGATTTTTCTACTAACCAGCATAGACCTTCACAGAATAGAAGGACGATTCAGGGATTGTGCCCTTTTATAGTGACCTCTTCGTATATCTTGACTAAAATGTACTAATTTCTCAGTTTAGGCGTCTTTCTACATGTTCCGCCAATCTTATTCTCCCTCAATCTAGTTTATCAATCAACGTAGAGACGTCTGCGTCATGGAGACACCGTTTTTGCGCATCTGAGAACACAGATGAATAAATTTAAACGAGTATTGAGTGCAGAATGATGGAGAAATTCCGTCCTTCGATCTGTAGCAGGTTAACAGGGCGTGACGTTGAGAACCGCGGTGAAGTAGGCAGTTTGAACTGTACCGCGGACGCAGAACTTAACCGCTGCAGCCGTAATATCGGAGTAGTTTGGCCGAGTAACCGGAGCTGGGCGCATGGTACATTATTAAGTCGACCGACACCACCAAACCAGCCACAAACACGGCTTTCCTCAGTAACTACACAACATGTTCAACAGTTATCGATGTTTAAAAGTCGATTAATCCTGTAGCTTTACCTGTCGTAGTGGCGGCACGAGACAGTTAACATCAAAACTATACGCACATTCAGCATTTAACACTCCATCTTCGCATTTGGGATGTCCCGGGTTCAAATATCGGGCAGGACACCGGCTATCCCGGCTGCGATTTTCCGTGGTTTTCCTCGCTCCCTCCAAGTAAATTCCGGAAGTGCATTAAATTAAGCCACGACAGCCTCTTTCTAAATCCCTCCTAGTTCACTACTGACTATCATCCTCACATTCGACGCTATATAGACTGAGCTACTGATAAAGCGTTGTAAAATAAACTATAAATATAAATAAATATATTCGCATACAGACGGGCTTACATAATGCAAAATATCTCAATTTCTACGTTATTTTTTAATATCAATCTCAAAATCGGCGTCGCGAATCTCATTACATGACAAGCATTAATTAAAGAATAAGACAATTTAAATTAATTCCTGGCAAGCGGAATCAAAGCCGAGACAAGGAACTGCAAGCATTAATGTTCACTGGCTGGGTTCCAAGCCAGGTCTCTTGGGAACGTAATTTATTACCACAGACCTTCGCCCGCTATTTAACACGGACCACTACGCGCATGTCCATTCGCTTAAGGAGGTAATTTCAGCTACAAATACGAAACACTTTTCTTTCACACAATTTCAAACAGTCGAACAGTACGTTTCTCTGATAACAAGCATTTATACCCATCAATTTCCACAGACGTGAAAATAATTACTGGGATTCTAAACGTGGCCTTCTGGAACGTTACGGCTTTTAGTCTGGTAGAAGTTTACTCATCGCCCTGATGATGGAGGCAGCAATGACCGCCGAAGCGTCAGTAGACTTCTACCGGACTGCAAAGCGCAACAAACCAGAAGACACCGATCTTCATACTCGCCACCGTGAGAACCTAATATACTACTTAATTTGAAGGAAATTTTCTTAGTACTTTCACCACTGTCCCACCTCCCAGCCACCAAAATTGCAAAAGAATATAAGTAATCGCGGTTTCCAGAAGAGATGAGAGCACCCCTGACCCCTCGTCAGCTGGAACCTCAGACCGGAGGACAACCTAGTGGTGCGTGACGGCGTTCCTACCTTACCGGAGGTGCTCTCACACACCCGACCGTTCTGATTGGATGTCACAGGCATTCGGTTTACAGCCCAATGACCACGAGAGGTATCGGGTAGGGTGTGCCAAACAAAAATAACCCAACTCCTGAGAACCAACAGACACGCGTCATCCTTTGACAGATCAGGAGAATCGATTCAACTAGCGACCGACACAAATAACGATCTCATTTGACGATCGACGGATAGAATCCAGGACATCGCGTTGCTATTGTAATGCCTCCGGAGGTCTTTAAAGAAAAATTCTGAAGAGAATACCTGAATACGGCAAAGAGGAATTAGCAGCGAGTATAATAATTAACAGTTTCAAAATATATACTATTCACCATATATTACAAAGGATGATTAAATCAAAGAGGGTAAAATGTTTTTGTTACGAAACCAGTCGCGTCATTTCTAAACATTAGAGAAAGCATCAGTATTTTCCCGGGATAAAGCAGCCGGAGCTTGAACCTCACATCTTCCCCCAGCGAACACTGTGATCTAAGATACAAGGACATTCACCCCCACGCCCATGTACGCTTTTATAGAGTGGTGTTTCGACATACGTAAACCCAAAAAATGATGAGGAGTTGAATAACCACTGAGTGAGAGAATCAGTACGATTGAGATTAAATGCTCCGACAAGTCACTTTGAGGCTACGTAAACAGATCGAAGGAGATCACCCCCGCCTCGAAATTGGAAGAAACGATCTGTCGGTCAGTCGAATTTGAAGCTCGATTAGGTTCGTCAGAAGCCGCGTGCGGGGGGAATTGGGATGGGAACAACGCAGATGTGGTCCTGACGACTGCAAGGCGCTCGAGACGAAAAGACGCGTAACTAATTATAAAGGAAGTGAGTTCAAGAAGGAAATAAAGAGAAGTAAGAAAAACCAATAACCCAGACAATAAAATTTCGAAGGAAAGACGAACAGACAAGGGACAAATACGAGGACTTAAGTCTCAAGTGCCAATTTTGTTTAATTAAGAGTATGTGAAATGAAGGGTGGAAAAAGGCAATCACATTTTGGTTGTTGTTGTGTTTTTTTTTAACTTATAAACTCCCCCCTTTACCCTAGCACAAGCAAATCATACGGAGAAAGAGAGAAAGTTAGAAGAGAGCTGAGGAAGAATGCGAGAGATGTGACAAGACTGCACACAGAAAATTCCAATAAAATTCTGTAAAATGATTTGAGAGGCGAACTATCCGGACGACCACGCAAACGGGTAGACACTCTCTATTCAGCTTTCACTTTTGTGCACTTCTCGGTATGAAGGGGAACAAAATACATTTTTTTATTGCACGTTTGTAAAAATGGTAATAAAAACATCAGACGTGTTCCCCGAGAGTAATTTAACAAATTGCATGATACTTATGCAAATGAAGAAAAAGTAGAGTATCCTCCCAGTTACGTTAAGTTATATTTATCCATCTTCTGGAGGACGTTCGTCGAGATAAAGATGTGTCTTTATTCGATTTTAAGAAAATTAAAAAAAAAATGTTGTGCAAAAGAAACTTGAAGGGAAGAAACAAGCAGATATATATACATACACGTATCTCACTCTAACATTTAATTATACGTTTCTGTTTCATTTTTTTTTCCCTCGACATTTCTACGGTTTTATTCTGAACGTAAGACAAAGTCAACTGCAGTGACAGAATTCTGAGAACTACTTGTCCTGTACCAACGAAAAGACGTGACATAACAAATCAAAATTTTACTTTCTCCTTAAGAAGGAGTGAGCGAGTTCTTTGAAACGTCTTTCACATTTCACAACTTCGTCCTACCTTTCCATCTGCTCCCAGGTCTATGCATAAGCCACCTACATCTTCCCTTGGAACGTCTTTCTACGAGAAGCAAATCACTTAGGAAGCCACTCTTCTGACAGTTACCCGGTAACCAAGAACCCAAGTTGGGATTTCGAGACCTATGAAATAAGAAACATCCTGTAGATTAAATGACTGCTGTTAAGAGAACGTGGAGATGTCAGGCAAATGTGTGACAATTTTAACACCTTCCCGTTTTAAAGAGCGTTAGAAGGGTTGCTGAGTTGGGCTTCAGAATAAATAACCACCTAATTCGCTATTCCTGCCAATTAATTATATTATTAAAAAGAAATATAAGACGAAAAATGTTACTGAATCTTCCATAAATAAAATCACTTTTTGGTAACATCGAATAGGGAGCGGAAACGTTTAAAGGCATCCGACAAGTTGTCGCGAGGGAGACCTACCAGTTCACCCCTTCTCCTTAGACTCACCCCACTACCCTCTAAAAAGGGGGGGAACTTATGTCTGGACAGAATCCAAGTGTGTTTAAATTGCTAATCGCGCATTATCCGCTTCCAGACAAGAACTGAGAGATTTAAAATGGGTCTTTTTTTTTTAACAAGAGTAGGAAATGGAACTTTAAATCTGAAGTCTATTTACTTAAAGGGAAGACAGATCACAAAATTTCTATGCCATTAAATAAGAGTCAATCATCTTTTAAGGCCGAGAGCGTTCTCTGGAGTAGATCCAGGTCCGACACGACCAATTCACCATTATCTGTCTACAGTGTCGCCAACTCTTCAAAATTGTTTTTTGGGGACGGAACGTTCTAACCAGATCACTTAACGTGAAAAATAAAAACATCGAAAATATAAGTGTGTGACATCTGTTAGCATTAAGGCAAGACTGGCGGTTAATAAACGTATAATTTAATATCACATTACATCTACACATAAATTTCAACCGCGGTTCAACACTAAAAATTATTTTATTTTCTATTTCTAATTTATTAATATTCATTTAGTCTTTATATTATTTACTTTACAGGATGATACAAAAACAACAACAAAAACGTTCACCCACACAAAATCATGTTAAGCACGACGTACATACAGAACAACTTCGAATACGATATTAAAAATACAATAAATCTGGAAGAAAACATCATTTGAAATCTGATAAACATCTGACTAAAAGTTGCATTTAAGAAATTATATTTAAATTTATATAATTTTATACACCTGAGGATGGTTCTTTAAGAACTGAAACATGTCGTGTAAAAAAGTGATCGAACATTTCGATAGAGAACATCATTTAATATATTTTAAATATTTAAATGTTAATTATAGTAATATTTTAATATTTAATGGAATTTTATTGTGATTAGACTGAAAAGATTTATCAGACAGGGTGTTAATACAATATCATAAATGGCTTTACACCTGAATGACGGAAAGTCCTGACATATCAGCTTCAATGATTTTCAAAACAGTTTACAGAAATTTGATGATACTACCTAGACATTAACTTCAGATTGAAGTGCTATTTCATATATATACCCTGCATTCGAGGGCGAAGATTTTTTTTTCAGCAGTGAGACCTGTACGCGGACTGATATTTGACGTATAGTAGAGGATGGAAATCAGTCAAAAAGGCTACGTCAGTATCCTCTTTACAGGAAGTCATAATTGCTACGATTATTTCAACGGCTCCAAGAACACTGTCATGCAGAATTCCGACTGAAACTTGAGCCCCCAAACCAAATGGCAGTCGCTTCGTCAAACCTTTATGAGTTTCAAATTAACGACGTCCTTCCACAACACACAATGCCGTGGCCTGTATTTTAATAGGCGAGAAACGAGGTGTGGGGGGAAAATATTCGTCGAAAATTGATGGTGTAGTTTATTTTTTCCGTGGGTCGTCACCCCACAAAATAAATCTTCTGAGCCCCAGATATTAAACAGAAATTGCATGAATTTCTGCAGATACATATAAAATAAACGGCATATCCATTTAGCTATCGTTCCCTTATGATTTAATGAAATGTAGAGCTTTATATGTAACCTGTGCAAATATGTAAATGTCCAGTTTCGAATTTTATTTTTATTTGAGCGTTTATCATGGAACTAGGTATGATTATCAATGTCCAAAAATCCGTATTAACATTGCGGACGCAGATAAATTTGACACTGAAATAGAGAATAAAATTAGATGTTAGAATATCACAAGGGTGTTGGCACTGCCATCAATTTTCTTACAGAAGTCTGAATTCAGAGGGTGGGGAACCTCCATGTTAATGAAGTTGGGCAGGGCTCGGGCTGTTTCCTAGAACGGCCGCGTGGCGGCTCTACCGACGCGTGCCGAACGACGTGACGTGACGCAGAGAGGATCGTTATGGCTTCGAGTTGCGCGGTGTTAAACAAGAAAGGACACGCGAAACATTTTAACATCCGCCAACCGGAATCTTTCGCGTCCCTCTTCATTATTTTAATTATTTTATTGTAAATTTTTCTATTGATTTGAGATTTTCAGGGAAATTTAAATGTGAATTGTATTATTCTGGGATATGACGCCGTGGTTACCAAACCTTCGGAGAAATTTATTGACGTAAATACGTCTATACGGAAGGGTAATTCGGCAAAGAACAGTTACGAAGATGTGTAGGATCCATACCAACAATGTGTAAATATGGACCGACAATGGTCAGCTTTTATATGAACTCCTGCGTTCATAACAATTTTTTACTCCTTTACATAAGAAACTAATTGTTACGTCATCTGTTTACTCGTCATTGTTTTGTTTCATTACTGACGTCAACAATCCGCTTTCGTTATTGCGGAAAGAGCTGAGATGTGAATCGAAGAGTGCGTCGTAGACTACATAATTTTGTGCTGGTAAAAACGTTTTAGAATATCACAATTACTTATCTTATATAAGAATTATTAAGAAACCTGTGATACTCCATTTTAGTTTTGATTAAATTGATCGTTGCCGGTGGACGTCGTGGTCTCTTACAATTGAACAAAGTTTGAGGTAAGGCGTTTGTGTGTTGCGTCATACTACGTAGAGATAACAAGATGGATGACATTGAAGGTAAAAGAGTCCGTAATGCAGAATATATGAGAGAGTACAGAAAACTTAAAAAAATAGATGTATTAAATAATGAACCCGAAGTTCACAAAGTAATACCAAAAATTAATGCAGAACGTATGAGGGAGAGATAATTAAGCAATGTCTTAATCAAACTATTTACTCAATTGTAAAGCATGTTTAAAGGAAATATTTAGAATAAAGCCAATATATAAACTTCCTTTCATTGTATTTATTATCTAAATATAATTTAAATACAAAGAAATATTTACGTCAGATTCTCCGGAATCGTGGTTCCACCATCAATTTTTCACTTTAATATTATTATTATTATTATGTGATCTGCACGCTCTCGCTTGAGCACCTTATGGGCATGTCCATCTGACCCCTTTTCCCTGCGAACGTAGGCAATCTACATTTTCTTCGCATAACGCCTTGAAATCACTTACATTTTTTTTTCCAAAATCCGTTTACAGAAAAAACAAATAATGGACAGATATTACAGAGCATAATGAATGATAAAATTGTTTGGTAAAACCGATCAGAGGTAAGTGTGTCTGGGAATTTTATGCAATGGAAAGCAAGAAACAGTGTACAAAGAGATTAAAGTACGATGCTGAACTAAAAAAAGGAGTAAGTGTACCCAGTCCGGAGACGTAGGCAGTCTCTCCAAAGTCATTAATTACTGCCATGAAAGTACCTGGGAAACAACTACGTAACCAGTGAAAATTAATTAATTTCCCTTCCA